TGTGTGTGTGTGGGGGGGGGGGCAGTATTAAAAAAACACTCTTATTGTATGCTGTAAAAGCTATCAGTGCAACATTGCATTGTCAGTTTTATGCAATTTACATTATAGCGTGCAAACTTATGTACAGTTACGTTTTCTAATTATCGAATGTTTTCTGTTAAAGGTTCTTTCGCTACCGCGTCGTGTACAAGCTGTAAATATCAAGTCAGAGCGAACGACATCAGGGAGGATATCTTCGCCCAAAGGATACCCACGTGTCCGAGATGCCGTGTCAACGCATTGCCCTCTTTGTCCGAAGTAAACTGCAGCGAAAACTACAGAGGTAAATAGAGCAACTTGTTTTTACATAATTCTTGCTGATAGTGTATTTATTTGCAGTCTTTCGTAATGGCTTATCAATTTCAATATGATACGGAGGGTAAACTATCTTTATCAGATAGTTTTTCGTTATTAGCCTTTGCTATAATGTCGCGAATCGATGGCCAATGAGAGAACGTTATCTACTCTTCTTCTCGGAAATGTGTCTCAAACTAAATGAAGTTACTGATTCAACACATAAGTTGATACATCAATCGTAACTGCGAATAAAACCTCGCTTGTTAATAAGCATATAAAGGTAAACTTACAAGATTGCACTTACCTGTGTGAGTGCCGTGTTTTGGCTATTTCGTGGAGGCTCGTCGTTTATTGTCCTAAATCGTTTTTCCCATTTCCTCAATTCAACAGTACTATATGTTACGATTGAGCGGAACGTATTTTTAAAAAATGCCATCTTAACCTAATTGTTTAATTTAAATTAATTAAAATTGTTAAATTAATTAAATTTAATACTCTCTCTCGTGTAATTCTCAGATCTGGTGTCGCAAGGTATAATGAAGCCAGATATCGTCTTCTTCGGCGAAGGACTGCCAGATACTTTCCATGATGCGATGGCCAAAGACAAGGACGATTGTGATCTTCTAATCGTTATCGGTTCATCCTTGAAGGTTCGGCCGGTAGCTCTAATTCCTTCATCCATTCCGTCGCATGTACCGCAGGTTCTCATTAACCGAGAACCATTACCACATCTCAAGTTTGACGTTGAACTATTAGGAGATGGTGACATTATTATAAATCAAATATGTCATTTGTAAGTAAAAAGTTTAATTCTTTTTATAAATTATGCGAAATATACCTTAGAGGTATTTAATTTCTTGTATATTAAAATATGTATGCAAAATATACATAAAAATTTTTTATTTAATGAGTATTATTTTAATGTAATGATTATTTTATTACGGTAATTGTAAAATTTTGATTTATTGGCATTGTGCAGGATGGGCGATACTTACAAAGAAGTCTGTTGGTACGACAAAATTCTGAAGGAAGTTCCACAACTTTTGCCATTGAGATGTCTATCTGATGACACCTGGGAACAGAGTCAAGACACGACAAGTAATACCGAAGTCTCGCGCGATAGCGTGGAAGTCGATTTGAAATCTCACAATGTACCCTCGAGTGAAAATCAGGATAGCCTCTCAATCATTACGAGTGCAATGACGCACCATACAAACGATATCAATGTTTGTGTGTCATCTTTGCATGGTGATCATGTTCAGGCGAAAGATCCAGAAGAGAGCTTCAATCTTTTAGGAGAAAGTCCGAAAAGACGATCGGGTGATACTAGTATAGAGAACAGTCCCAAGAGGATGAATTTTGGTAGCGGACGTGAGACAGAAGTTGTGAGTTCCACATCACCAGTGAAAGTAAATGCCAAACACACGATGATCTCGTCGAAAAACAAACTTCACATTACATCCGCGAAATCGAAATCTGAAAATAATTTGGAGGAATGCCAGGTGGTGCCGACAATATTATCCCTTTCCTCAGAAGCTGTAATAAGCGAAAACACTTTGGAGTCTCACAAATTGCTAAACAAGTGTGAGAAATCAAATAAATATGATGATGCCACAAATCTAGCTGACGCTACCGAGTCAGACAAAACAATATCGAAACCGAGGCAAGCGTCGGTGGATTCCGTATTGGATTCCGGCATAGGCGACAGTTGTAATAGTATCGATAGCGCGGAAGAAAAGTTCGATATAGCTGAATTGAAGAATAGAAGATTGGAGAGACGCTGCTGGCAACCAAAGATTCGGGAAAGTCTCGCAACTAGACTACCAGGTAGAAATATTAAGTAATTTTTCATATACCACAAATATATATGGCAATTAATATAAATATAATACGGCTGCGATTTCTTTTACAGAAAATTCTTATTACCAATTGGCATCGGGCAGATACATTTTCCCTGGCGCGGAAGTCTATTCCGAACCTGAGCAATACGATCAATGTTCCCTTTCGGCACACTCTGAGAGCACAGACAGTGACAGCGATTCGTCTTCTGGAGAAGAAGAAGATGATGAGGAAGAGACAGGTAAATTTTGACTTTTTATTAAGTACTAGTACATAACAAGCGCGCGCTGCGTATTGAATCCCATACATCTTCCAATAACATTTATACCAGTTTACATTTTAATTAAATAAATTTTAACAATTTTTGATAAAAAATTAATTTTCAAAAAAAATGACGCTTTGCGCGCGGTGCGTATTAAACTCCATACATCTTCCAGTAACATTTCTACCAAATTACATTTTAATTAAACAAATTTTAACAATTTTCAATAAAATGACGTTTTAATCGACCATATTGAACCGGCCATTTTTAAATAAAATAACGATTTTTTAGAAAATAGCCATATAATTCATCTTTAAGATAAGCCCAGAAAGAAGTCGATATTTTTATTTTTCTGAAAGAAAAAATAAATTTTTAAACAAAAAGATAAATTTTTAAACATTGGGAAAAGAAGCTTCAATGCAGATAACGTGGCATTTAATTTTTAAAATAAATTTTTTTTTGAAAATTTTTTATATCATTTAATTTTTAGAATAAATTTTTTATTTTATTTTTTATATCATTTGATTTTTAAATAAAATTTTTTTTTTACCCACCATCACTCATCACCAGTCACCACCACCACCACCACCACCACCACCACCCACAACCACTACACACCACAACTACCCACCACCACCATTTTTTATATCATGTGATTTTAAGTAAAAATTTTTTTTTTGAAAGTTTTTTATATCATTTGATTTTTTTAAATAAAAATTTTTTTTTGAAAATTTTTTATATCAGTTGATTTTTAAAGTAAAAATTTTTTTTTGACCTACCATCACCCACCATTACCACGTCGGTACAAAGCGGATCTTAGTGTTTAATAATATTTTTATATATAAATCTTTCAATTTTCAAGTAAACTGCACGCCGCATAATCGTCGGTCCTTAATTTTTAAATTTGTGTGTTTACCATTACGTGTAATTATTTTATATATATATTTTTTATCTGTTTTTAGGCGCGGATGATGACCTGTCAGAGGACGCAAATGCCGATGTTGACACTAACGGTCAAAATAATGACGCAAAGTGGACGAGTAATTCTTATACCTGTACGCAACATTAAATTGAAATTGCGCTCCGGCATAGCGAATAATTTTGATGTTTTATCGATTTTTATCAGGATTTGTTGCGATCATCCGTATAGAATCATAAGTATAAAACGTGCAATTTTTCAGTTATAAAGCAAAGTAAGATATTCTAATATAAATCATATATTATTAACGAATAAGAAATAGTTACGCAAGATTTTATTAGCAGAAATTTGGTAATGCGTGTGTGCCATAAAACATACGCACACACAGTGTTTAGAATCGGGATGTCTTTTTTTTTATTTTTTTTTCTTTTATTTTAATATTTCACCTTTGGATAGCACAAATTGAGAGATCTACTTGTACACAATTCCATATTTTCTTCTGTATATTTTCTTTCTTTTTTTTATGGTAATTTTTTGTAATGCTCACGATAATGTACATAAGGTATTATAACTCTGTACGCAGAATGTTATCACCCTCCTAGATTCGCATTTTAATGTCACAACTGACGTGTCCACGATCCTTATAATCAATATGAAGATTATAGGGAAACAAGCAAGATTGCTTTTAGCTTATCGCGCTATCCGTAATTATTTCTCTCTTCTCTATTTATATTTAACTGTGTTTCAAGACCGACAAATATTGCGGCGCGCAGTTTAAACGTGGTTAAATATTGTAAAAATTAATACGCAACAACACCTGTGTCGGCTCGATAGGCATTACTTCAATATATTTGATCTATCTGTTTAGATAGAGAAGAGATATTTAGATAGAAATATCTTTAAATAATCTATTTAATCTACTTTGTGTGTGTAAAATGTATATAATTGGACTTTCAGCACGTCTCTCCTTATTGCAAAAACGATAAAATGAGAGTGAAACATTAGAAGGAATTATATATTATGTTCTAATTAATTGATAATGTAAATACGAGATTAATTGTAAACGTAATTAAAACGGAATAATAATACTCGCGGCTCGTTACGTCTAATGTGAAATGAAGTTGTGTTCAAGCAGTGGATGCGGGTCTATTATCTTTAACTGCACGATCTTCTGCGTTCAATCAGATATGTACGCTTGGTCGAACGAAATGCAGAGTGTTATAAGATGCAACGTGAAATTGATGGATTCCATTGATGCATTCTGTGAAAATGATTTACGATATTATTTTATTATCCAGAATGAATGTAGCACACTTTCACACACATAACACGGACGATGTCGGGGAGATGTTAATCTATAGAGTTTAGATGCCGAATAGTTTCTTTGCGATTCTTATTACAGATTGACGATGGTAGAGAGATAACATTTTGCCTAATGGCTAAGCAACATCCGGACAAAGTATTGGCACTGCTAGATTAATTAAGAATTAGCGCTAATTAATAATTAAGCACCGATGTTATTAGTTCTATTATTACTCGCATCGCTATTTCTGTTGCAAGAGAATCGCTAGTCTTCTTTAATTACAAATTTGAAGAAGGATCTATAAATAATTACACACATCGTGCTTTTATCGGATAGAATTATTCTTTTTTTTAAATACGCAATTTTGTTACGAAATAAATTTGCAAGGATTATTGTATAGTACAATCAGACCGGACCTTATCGATAGATAAGAAAATAGCCTCTTATGAAACCTTTGTTGGTCCGTATCGGCAATTGCATTCACATTCTACATTAAGTTTTATATTAATAGCTTTTCTCGTCTCAATAGTACGGATAATCGTCATAGTTTGGCAATGAACACTCTCTTTAGATTTGTTAAGTTCAACTTTGTTTCATTGGAGCACGGGCGAATGTACAAAGCAATGTTGGATAGCTTCGCATTGCGTGTTATTTTTATATGAGCCAGAGGAAAGATAGAATAGCGAATTTACAAGATTAATACAAAATGACGCAATAATCTTTGACGAGCTGTCGTTAATAACAACCGTTTTGTCGCAGAGGTCTAACAGAATTGTATGAAAGAAAGGTGTACCAGTGAAAGATTATATTGAAAAAAGAAAGTGCGTGGGAAAAGAGCACGGGCGCGAGCTTGCCAAGTATTTTGTATGAATGTGAAAGAAGAACAGTTCTGTCAAAGTTATTATTGCAACGTATATCTGTAAGAAATGAAAAACGGTTGTGTGCAAGTTTATTTTACATAATTAAAATGGACGTAAACTTACTTTGATTCAATGCAATCGCATTGTGTGAGTAATGTTTGAAATAATTGCAAGTGTGAGATGTATGAAAAAATGTGTACATACATATATATATATCTATATCTATATATGTATATACATCCGAGAAAGAGAGAAAGGGAGAAAGCGAGCGAGAGGAATTAATGAATCGTAGACTAAGTAAACAGATATGTAATACACTTCTATCACGCGACGTAAGAGATTTTATTTTTCATTATTTCGCTATGTAAGAGAGACAAGTTCTGTGGAAGAGCCATCTCGCTATAGAGACGACTCGGCTATGGAGGACTCGGCTGCCACCCACGAAATAGTGTTTTGTTCCTTACAGTAGGAGACAGTTTTATAAGATTAGACTATGAGAAGATTATCATCCGCTTTGTACAAAAGCTTTATTTATCATTTATAATTTTGCTGGATAACAGGAGGCGGATTAGATATTATTTCGTGGATCATCCTTTCGTTTATTTATTTCATACACATATGTATGTATTTGCGAGTGTATATATGCATACACCACGTAGTCGTCGGAGTGAACGTTTAGTTTCCTGATATCACTTGCATGCGATTTCACAAATCCTTGGGAATTTGGACTCTCTGTGATCGACTAGATACGGGATACGTATGATTGTCCATCAGATGAATTTATTTCTTAAATTGTATTGCGTCATGATTGTCGTCCTACTACGACGAATCAATTTCTTGATTTCCTTTTCCACGTTTTTTCTACTTACTTATTTTACTTATGCGCCGGCTACTTAAAGAGGAGTCTAATATTGTATAATCACGAAGCATGTCAATCGATCGTCATGTAATTATATATTTATTTTATACGAATATATTTTTTTATATATAAATTGTGTAGTAACGATTATGTGTAGTCGATTCAGAGAGAAAGGGAGAAAGAGACAGAAAGCTGTCAACTCATGTTTGACAATCAATACCGATTTTTTCGAGCAGTACTGACTTTCTGTATAAAATATGCTGTCACATGTAAATATTTATTTTTACTGTACAATAAATCGTGAATTTTATCGTATCAGCCAATTCGAAATAAAAAGGATTACGTAGTTTGGATTCGAAATCGTAAATGTAATTTATAACAGCAATTAGAGATTTTTTTGATCTTTTTCACAGGCTGATACGGCAAAATAACGTAAAGTTCTCGATTTTTTATAATTTGTTATTTAATGTAAAAAAGTGACTGTTATAAAAAAATGTTCTCTATTAAAAATGTTGTAAGTTTTTTGTTTTTTCTTTTTTTTTTTTGGTATTAACATATAAGCTTATCTCTTAAATTAAACATTTTCTATGATAAATTGTTGTATTTTTTTTCCTTTCCATAATTGTCAACGAAAGTTGATATCGTAGATATTTCTCTCGAATAACTTTATAACTAAAAAAATTTGTTACAACAGTGATTAAAACAAGACTTAGAAAATAGTTGAACTTCAATTAATTTAGATAAAAATGTTTCGACGAAGTGATGAAAAACATAAATAATTTTAAGCCTATGAATAGTAAATATTGATTATATATATATATATATAGCATTATCAGTCTTGAGATATTTAGCATTTGTTATTCAGGATTGCTGCTGCTAATATATAAGGTGACTTTGTGCAAAAATTCATTCAGTATCCTCTTCCTCCATCGTCCTTTTCTCCATCTCCGAAAAAAATTGAAAACTTTAAAGTTCTAAAAATTAGATATTCCGAAATGGGAAACTAGAAATGTGAAGAAATAAAAAAGGCTGATAATTTTGAAACAGTATTGGAACGTAAATGAGTTAAGAATTTTATCTTTTATTACACTATATATTCGTATAAACACACACAATCTATTGTAAATTTCATCAGATTGGAAAAAAAATTTCTCTACAAATTGACCGACGCAGTCTTCTGTGCTTAATATCAGAGGCGTATTAATAAGTCATTTCAATCATTTAAGACATTGTACGAAGAATAAAAACAAAAAATTAAAAATGAATAACACGCAGGTGTAAACAAAGATTGTTCGCAGAGAGAAAAGCTTTAAAGAAGAAACGTGAATTAGGGGTGAACACAATGAAGAAGGCCGCAATGAATTTCGTCGTCGTTATATTTATTTATTTGCTTTATTGTTATATGTCATATAATAGTTTTATATCATATATCGCAGTTATCATAAATCAAATTTGAAAATAGGCTTTAAATTATAACAATATATCCTTAGAGAATAATTGAAGCGCTCCCTGGAATATAGGTCAAAAAGCCCTCGTACGTTTTCCATGAGCTTCATATCATTATCATCATCATTATCCTCTCATCAGTATCATCATCATTAATCATCTCATTGAAACTTACGCGCGTGTGGGGACCGTTTCAATTATAGTATATCGTCGCTATGTATTGAACACTTGCCGAAATCCCCACCAAGAAAGATTTTCAAATGTTCAATCGAAATGAACATTTTATATATCCGAGTGTGTGTATCTATATAATATTATTATATCATTACTAAGTCCAGCCGAGATAGCAGGGGGTGACGTTTCTCTCTTTCTTTCTACTCCTCCCTCCCGCCCTCTCTCTCTCTCTCTTTCTCTCTCTCTCTATGTACCTGTTTTTTTTTCTTTTTTTCTTTCTTTCCTATAGTTACGTTTTGCGTGTAATAATAACCATAATATAATAATAAACATTATTACACCACCACAGCAATAATAATATTATAATAGCACTGTCGCACTAGGGACGCACGGCTATATCCTCATGCGTTGGCGGCCCACTACCACTTTTACAATGAACAGTATTCATTGATCTGAATAGGATTCGGTATTATATAATATATTATTAGTACGTTGCGTATTCGATTCGTGACACATCTCTCTTGTAACGCTTTTACATAAATTCGATTTTCCCGAGAATCTGGTCAATTACGCATGGTGTAACGATACGTATAGAATTTTCGTGTTCCGCGTGTTAGTGAGCTCGACAAAAATTCGCTACGATCATATGACAATCTGTGTCCGATAGATCTGCTTGGAACAGAACGCGATATTCATATTACGGCGTATTCGTTCGTATTCGATAAAGAACTTGACCTACAAACAAATGCAAAGATGTAAATATATACCAGAATGTGGCTACAACGGAAACCCCCGATTTAATCTGGCAATCGGTTGGGACAATGTCGCTTATCATCTTTGTTTTTATTCGGATCTTTCGATCGATTTTTAATGACGCAACCCCAGCGTACACTCGTTGATGGGAAAAGGTCTATACAGTCGTTCGACTATGCGAAACGGACGCTCTTTAAATGTTATATTGGAGGTAATCGACAATTGAGAATCTACAGCGCGAAGGACCGTTCTTCTCTTAGTTTCTTCTTAAATGTAAGTATTACTACAATATCTGTTCAGTGACACTGTTTAAAAGCAACAGCCAAGACTCAGCAGAGTGACAGTGATGAATTCAAGCGTAAGTGCAAAAGTGGAAGAAGAGTAATATATACTCAGATTCGATGAAGCCAAATGGGTATCTCAAAATTTCTTTTGTATCTTTCTTTTTGTCTTTTATTCGGACTGCCCCCCCCCCCCTCTCTCTCACTCTCTCTCTCTCTCTCAGTTTGTAGCATGGAAGTAATCGGAATCATCCGTTTTGCAAAGCAATTATTTACACGATTGTATCATGCCCGTATCATGCCCGTAAGATTACAGCGTTTCTTTACAGCGCTCTAAATAGTAACATGTAAGTTTTGTCACCTATCGTTCGATATCGTGCCAGGAGCACAGCTGTCCTCAACGTAACTCATAATTTAAATCAATCGTAATCTGAAGTAAGAGTTAGTCTCCCATAATAATTCATATTCATCCCTGACACTTTGATAATCAATGTTTATCATCGCTATTGCAGAGCTACTGAAGTAGCGATTTAAAACATAATTTTATGCGTGTACGACTGGATCGTTGTGATAAATCTGGCGAATACACTTCGAAATGGTTTCCCACCATCTGTTTCATAATAATGTCGATTTATCTCTAGCAAAATTTTAAACATTAGTTACCGCTACTGTAAAAGCTAAACCGATGGCGATGCAGAACGTAAATTTTATGCGTATCTGAATCATATTTGGATAAATTTGGCGAACATGCTTCAAAATATTTCGAATATCGCAAATTCAGATTGTTTTTAATAATGGAAGAGAAATCATCATTATTATAATTCGATTGTTGGTGAGTAGCATGTCCCTGCTGATCAATAATTGATTGACAGCGGAGCATGCAAGCGTCTGTAGCGGCTAAGAAAAGCATGGCGTGGATCAGAGGTAATTAAGTCATAATTATGCTGTTATTATCTCACATTGGTTTCCTTAACCGACACAGACTTTTTTTTCTTTCCTCTCGCTCTTGGATACTCCTCTTATATTCTGTAATTAACTCGGGAAATATATTATTAATAGCAATAAATTGAATAATTAAGGATTTGTCGTCTTATCCTCTAGTGTGACAAGTAATATTAAGAGAGAATCTGGGTTTGAATGAATATAATAAGATCGTAATATAATTTATGTGCCTACAAATAATTGATCCAATCCAGACTATTTTGCTATTACTATCTTTTCATTTCTCATCGTCAGATCCAAAATATGAAAATATGTTAGATTTAGAGGTCGAAGCTGTGTCAGCGCAATCGGTTCTCTAATGGGTCCATTTATTCCACGCCTGCAAGTAAATAAAATTAATATATCGATAGTTTCTGCAACAGCATATTGCTTATTACCATATTGTTTTCCATTTTGGGGAAAAAAAAAAAAAAAAAAAACCAGAAATTTTTCAAGTTAGAAATCTTATTGGACAAAGAATCTTACCGAATGTTGTTTGTCTTGCACGGCATCGGACATTCCCCACGATGGATCTATCTTATTCTGCTCAGTCGGCGGGATTTCTGTCAACTCTCCAAATTGTCCCGGCAATAACGTCAATGCTGGCATAATTGACAATGCCGTATTTCCGTTAGCCGGGAAAGCCTGAGTGTTCACATGGCCCTAAACACGATAAAATTAATTACGTACGTGTGTAAACAAATAGTACATATGGTAGAGAATTTTAATCTTTAAGGCTCCTGACTACTTAGCCAAGAACTCCGCGTTAAAACACTAACTCGTGAAATTAAGAACCTTGGTCATTGTAATTAAGTTCTACAACGTTCGGTTGCGTTCGATTTGAAAAACTTAAGCAGTAAGACGTAAGCAGTAAGTAAATCAGCCAATCACAGTAGAAAAAATGTAAGGCAGTATATAATCTTACGTTCTCTACTGTAATTGTCCAATTTACTTACTACTTACGTTTTTCTGTCCTACGGGCTTTAATTTCTTTATTGCTTACGTTCTTTTGTCATAATGCTTATAAGGCCCGGTTCTACAATACGTTGTATATCGGATCGTAAGCCGTAAAAACTGACCAATCGAATGTAAGAACATTTCGACCTGGCATACGACGTATTGTAGAACGGGTCTGATTGTAGATGGACCTTCAAGAACTTACGGCTTACGACACCGGCATACTGTAGAACGGACCTTAATGTGAAATGTTGACAACAAGATTTTGTCTTACGTGCCATTTCATCATTAGGTGTTTAATTGTGAAAATCTGACTTATCTCGTATTCATGAAATTCGTAAAAATGGATAAAAAGTAATGTTATCTTTGAATTTTATACATAAAAACATGTTTTTTATTCCATGCAATAACTGCCAAACCGTGTGTTTTTCTATTTAAATAGGCTTCACTTCATGCGCCTTTTACGACTATTTACTGGCTGTCACAGGAGAAACAGGTCAAAAAGGATAATTTCTATCCATTTTTACAAGTGTTTTAAAGTAATCCCAATTGTTTCATCCAAATTTTATTTATAAATGGTTTACAAGAAACTTTAACGTGACATTTTTCGCTTATAAAGTCACGATTCCAATGTGATCACGATGATTAGTCAGGAGTCTTAATATTTCAGAAAGCTTATAATAACCGTGCAAATCTTTTCTTTTTTTGAGAGATAAAGACATCAGAGCTAAAAACGACTTCCAGTTTTACTATTACAAATGATTTACTTTCGCGTGAAATCATCGTCTTGATAAAAAAAAAATCATGTAAAAAATAAGAAAGGATTTATACAAAAGCGTAAGCAAGTCATTTATGTATTATCAAAACAGAAAGTCGTTTCGATTTTTAATACGATCATTTTTTCGATTTAAATGGATTTTTTATTGCGCTTAATAGTACAATAAAATCTTAAAGCCTTACATGGCCATAATAAAGTCATAATAAATCACTCAATAAAAATAGTCGCAATAATAAAAAAAATTAATCGCGCAATTACATAAAATAATTGAAAGGTACCTGATAGGAAGATTCCATTATTTGATGAAGCTCAGGCTCAACATTGGATATACGTTGGTTGTAAGTGGGATTCGATCGAAATATCTGATGTCTGTCGATACCAGGCGCCAGGTTGCAATTCGGCCATGGTAACTTTTCGTTCAGCATCCAATTAATGGAATCGGCATCCCCACCAGGGCCCACTCCCGCTGCCGAGTAATTCTTCCACGTCGCTCTTTCGGTACCGATCGGCCGTGGTACCTTGCGATCTTCAATCTTCAGTTGGCTCATCTCCTGAGCGACTTGCGCCGGTGACGACGGGGATATAGCTGGTGAGCCACCGTTCTCCAGGCTCGTGATCAAATCAATGCCACCGCCAGGTTGACCGCCGATGTTGGCAAGTTGATTGGAGAATCCCATCTGGCTTATCATGGGATCCTGGTGCGGCGGATAGCTGGTGTGTGGCGCCGGCGGCGTGGCGAACGGCCAGCGGGCCGTCGTCTGAGCCGTCGTCGAGATGCCAGTGTTCGCTACCGGCGTGGCTCGCGAGGGCGCTTGATATTTTCCCAGCGGATAATTGCCGAGCATCGCCAGATTATTGGACTGTATCGCGGACGGCGGTGGCGCCGGCACAGTGGCGGCGAACATGTTGGCCGGATGCAGTCCTGCAGATCCGGCGGCGGCGGCGGCGGCGGCGGCATTGAACATCGTCACCTGCGGCTTATTGCTCAGGTGAAGCGAACTGGAGAAGTCAGGGGCGCGCGGGTTCAATCTTGACATACTAACGGTGGTGTTGATCACAGACGCGGATGGTGCGATGGTCTGAGCAAAACTCTGCATATGAGGATGAAACGGTAGAAGAGAATGGCCGGCGCCACTCTGACTATCGTTTGGCATCATTTTCAACAGGTTGGAATTCACGTTCGGGTGCTCGTAACTGCCGCCGCTGTTGTTCGCCGCCTTGAACAGACTGACGTCCAGAGCCTGCTGCGATGTAGATGGTATCACGTGTGCCGTCGGCTGGTGCGTCGTCGCGTTCCGTGTTGACAGATCACCCTGAAAAACCGCCGGCCTATTGAACTGTGCCGCCATACCGGTTCCCATATCAATGCTCTGTTGGGGTATTACTGGTCTAGCCACCGCTAGACTACCGGGCGGCTTGTTCGGTAGCGGGTGCTCGCTATAACTCGTCGAAGACTGAAACTGCGCGGGCTGCATAGAACTGTTGTGTACAGAACAAGATACCACGCTGCCAATCACGTTGGTCGATGCGTTGCTCGTATTACCCGGCTTGCTAGAAACCGGAGAACACATGGCTGTACCGCGGTATCCCGGAGCTTTGGATGCGTCTACCTGTGCTCGGCAAAAGTTAAAACGTGTAATATCTCACATCATTTACGTTTTCTCGATTCTGATGTCATACTTAAAAATAATTGCAAAAAAAAATATTTTTTTTACGAATTTTCAACAACGACTACTTCTTATGTATTTTTATTAATAAAAAAAATACTAAAAATCAAATTAATCCATTTTTACAACGTACCTGTGGTGGGGAACTGTCGAACTTAGCCGCAGATGGACCGGAGCTCGTGTTCGACGATACACCACCGCCCGCAACAGTCGCGAAATTCATGCCCTTTTGAGTTTCATTTTCTCTTCCTCCCCACATTGACTGCTGCGCGACTTTAGTGAAAGTATCATTAAACAGAGAATACTCCAGAGGCGTGCTGCTAGGTTGCTGCTGCTGCTGTTGCTGTTCCTGGGTCACGATCGGTGTAGTGCTGCGAATATTTTGCTGAGATTGCTGTTGTTGCATCGGTTGTTGTTGCTGCTGCTGTGCCGTTGCTGGTGGCGGTGGCAACGTTTGCGCTTGCAACGGTACAATCGGCGGCGAAGGTGTCACTCGAACGGAACTGGCTGACGTTGAGACGACCGAATTTTCCGGACAGTTCGTCGTCACCACAGTATTTGTGGCCGACGACGATGAAATTGCAATCGTTCCAGATGAAGGGGGGTAACTCGACTTCCCAGGATAGTGAGATGCTATTGCCGACGGGGCGGACAAGATGGGCAGTGATCGGCAGTGTTTCGGCGATGTACTGACTACGGATTGTTGTTGCTGGCTGGTTGTATGAGCGGTCGCCGCAGACGTGGCTGATGACATGATAGTCACGGTTGCGGCTTGCGCTATGGGCTTCTGCTGTTTGTTCACCGGTGTGGTGTGAGTAGACTGCATGACGGTGGTGGAACTGTGAGTCGAGGCAGTGATCTCGGATAGCTTCGCCGCGAATGTCTGCGTCGTGCTGGTCGTGACAATCTTCGTTCCTGCCCTACCGGCGGTCATAATCGCACTCGTATACGACATTGTCGTCTTGGTGTTTGACGAGGACGCCATTTGGGCGGCAACGGCTTGCGCACGTTTCTCTGCTGCATGTGCATACGTAAGTTTAAGATTGATACGTAACATTAATACGATACAAAATAAAAAATACAATATGTATTATAATATATTTGCATCAATTTTTACTTATTTATCGACTACATTTCTACATTTTAGATTTTACATTTTTAGATCGTTTTAGAATTCGTCACTCACTAATTACGTTACGATATTTCTTAATAAAAAGTCGCAGAAAAAAATAATTCGGGACTTTCGAGTTTCTTTGTTAAAAAATAGCACTATGTAATAAATAAATTTCGAAACATTTTGAAATATGAATATTTTCTGTATGTGATACAAATATAAAAGTAAATAAAATATTCAATATATCTTTGAACAATTAAGTAATTCTTCGTCAATTAAATTAACACAAAAATAAACACATATGATAATTGTTTGCAGTTAATAATTAATATTTAAACATATTGTTTTACATTACCTGCGGCCATGAGTCTAGGCGCTGTCGCACGTGGCAAAGAAGTAGAGAAAGAACCAGCGAGTTTCATACTAGATGCACGAATAGGAATTAAAGGATTAGGTGTAGAAGAATAACCTGCTCTATTAACTTGGTTATTGGTTGTACTAGATGCCAGATTAGATGGTTTATTAACAGATCCAATTTTCGTTTTACTTGGCTGAAAAAAAAAATCCTTTATTAAGTTGCTCTATACGTGGAATAAAGCACAAGAAATAAAACTATAATATTTCTTGTGCTTACAGTAACAGTAGAAGTAGATTTGTCCCACGAAGCTGTTGTTACATTCAGTTTTAATTTTGAAAGCATGTGGACTATATCTACATCTGGATCCTTAATAAGTACCGTTATCAACGTAAATGCATTCTTCATAGCATCCGATGATCCTCTATAAACAGCATATTGACAATTTTAATATTAATATCTTTTATTTAATATGATCAAGATATTTTTTGAAGAAAGACAGATATCAATATAATCAAGATATCTTAATATTAAAAGATATTAAAATTTTTAATCGTAAAAATGAGTAAAATTTCCTGAAAATTCTATAATTTTTCGAATATTTTTATTTAATTTCCACGTAAAATTGGAAAGAAATATTTATATGCAAGAAAAATAAAATTTTGATATTAGGATTTTTTTCATTTTTAAGTGATAAAAGAAATTGAAAATCTGCCTTTAATGAAACAGATCTGGTATACATCTTTTGTATAAAAAATATAAACTTTATTAAAAGACATGATATCTGGTACTCACTTTATTGTAATGCTTCTTTCCATTTGGCATTTACTTTGCTTTTCTACTTCGATGTGTGCACCCGTTGCAACCCGAATAGCATTTATATTACTGCCACCTCTACCTATTACTCGGCTAATAGCGGTTGGGGGAACAATTACCTTTTTCGAACGGTACGGTGAATTCATAAATCTCCCCGAATCATCCGATTGTCCCCTATAAATCACAATTACGTTGTGCATTTATTTTATTCATAAAAATACTTTATTTATAAAAATAACATTAATATACTGAAATGAACAAAACAAAGAATTTGGAAAGAATGTCTTTAAGAAAGTGTAGCTTACTTTCGTACAACTTCCTTCCATCCCTCTTCGCGTTTTCCGCTTTGCTTGGGGCTAGTGTTATTCGCCTTCGTCGATGTATTTAGAGCATCTCCATCGTATTGATTATAAGACTTTTTCCCTTTGCCAGGAACATAAGTCTCGTTGCCAGTCGCTTCGAAATCTTCTCTGTCAGCAGGATGCCTGGAGGACTCGAAAACCAATTGTCCTTTCAGCTTTCGATCGGAACTGACGGTGGATGTCCTAGTGGTTGTGACCGAAGTTGTAGATACAGATACTGCACTGGTAACGTTAGTTATAATTCGCCTGCAAAAGAGTCATTATCGATTTGTAATAAATAATATTAAGGCCAATCGTTATTTGGTTACATAATATACCACATACTTTATTGTTGCGTAAACATAAAAAAAATTACTGCTTTAAAGAAAAGAATAATTTAGGTTCTATGTATAATAGAATATTGATTTTTTCTTCTCAAACACAATTGTGTGAAAAATGAAACAAGTGAACTATATTTTTTCGAGTTAGTTCAATTTCTATGCTTTAAAATATATTAAAATATGTATTATTATATATTTATATAAATATATAATTTAATAAGATCAGTGAAACGTGGTACTGTAATGTGCCCTGCACCTTTACACTTTACACATTTATACCTATATTTACCCAATACATTTAACATTACCTGTATGTTAAATGTATTTTTTTTCGATGTCAAATTTTCTTTTCTCTTATTATTTAAATAATAACTTCGAGTCTTCTTACTTTTCCGAAGTGTTATTCTGGGATTTAGTCGATGTCGCTGTGTTTTGAGATAAATTGGTGTTTTGCGAAAGAAGGCTCTTGGACGAACGTTGTGGGGACGTATCCTTATCGTTGTTACTAGGACTATTGTTCTTCTTTTTCTTCTTTTCCTTTTTTTTCTCTCTCGCTTTCACATCGTTGCTACTACAGCTTCCCTGGCTGTTTGCATCTATTCCACTGTCACCTTCTTCTCTATCGGGATCTTCCGGGCTTCTGTTTACAGGAGACGGCACGCTCTCCATCCTTTCATCGCCGCCCTCGTGCTCACTGTCGTCCGCCCGATCGCATTCCTCATCAGATTTCTTCCCGTTTTCTTCCTTATCTTCAAACGCTGTCTCGTTCTTCTTGTACTCTTCGTGAAGTTTACGTTTCTCCTCCTTCTTCTCGAGTTTTTTCTTTTTCTTTCTCTCACGCCTTCGCGCGGCAGCCGCTTTCTTCGATTCCTCTCTCGTTTTTTCCATGTCGAGTTCTTCTAATAGTATAGTGGCATTCTTATTTGCTTTAGCGGCCTGCGTCTCTTTGGCAGCTCTTATCACTTTAACGCATTCCTGGCATTTTTCCAAAAGTTCCTTGTCGTTGACAGTCGCTATGTACCTCGTCATCTCCTGATCACTTGGAAATTGCGTTACATGAATCACCATCCACTTGACCACTTTAACATGACCCTTACGGAAGGCGGCCATCAAACAGGAAACCTAATTTTTATAGAATATATTTTATATACATATCCTGTCTAATATTAGAAGTGATTATTAAGTTTCTCGTTAAACAAATTATCGTGTGTACCTTACGGTTATCCTGCGAATCAATATCTGCCTGCGAATGATATAACAAATCCACAACATTAAGATGTCCGCCATTTGCGGCTAACCATAGTGGACTGTTCCCTTTCTTATTTTTTACATCGACACAAGCCCCCCTAAAAGAAAAAAAAAAGAAAAAATTCGTTATTAAACTGTTATTTCATCACGTGAAGCATAATAATAGTGATCAATTACTTATTTAATAAGAGTTCTACGAAACGGCAGTGTCCTTTATCAGCAGCAATAGTGAGGGCAGTATCGCGAGATGATGGAACAGGCGTCGCGTTAACGTCAGCACCTTTGTTAAGTAGAACGCGCCCAACTTCGACATATCCACCACTAGCGGCTTCCATCAAGGGTGTCAAACCCGTCTTTATAAAAAAAGTTAATTTTTGTTATACAAAAATTACATATATCACTTAAACATTAGATATTATTACCTTAGCTCGATGTTCAACGTTAGCTTTCCGATCGAGAAGAAGGCTAACAACCTCGTGTCTCCCTTGGAAGCACGCGAGTGTTAGTGCTGTGTTACGATTTGTCTCGATTTGCGCGTTAATGTCACTGCCCATGTCCAATAGTAATTTAACTGCCGCTGTACATTAAAATAACATACATTTTTTATTTTAGTGTTTCAGTAATGATGAAATGTTCTTTGCATATAAGCAAATTGGAATTCGTGATTATCAAGTGTCAAACAATTTCAAATTTTCTTACCGGTATGACCATTCATAGCAGCCAACATTAGGGGAGATATGCCTAATTTGGAACCAGTACGAGAATTAATTTCGGCACCATGGCTTAGTAGAAGCTTTATTATGTTGACGTAACCACCGGATGCAGCCAAACTCAAGGGCGTATAATCGGAAACGTTGCGATGTTCTTTGTTCGCGCCGCGATTGAGTAGAAGCTCAACTACTTCGTATCTGCCTCCGCTGCATGCGAGAGACAGTGGCGTATCCTTGGTACGTTCCGATTGTGCTTCTATGTCAGCTCCGTGATTGAGTAGAATCTCAACCACTTTCTGATGGCCAGCCGTTGCGGCCAAAATAAGTGGTGTAAATCCCTTTTTATCCCTGTGTTCTGTAAGAAAATTTATTGTGCGTATTAGCCCTTGCTCTCGCTTAATAAAAATTTCAATCGCGTATCAATAAAAAACCACATGACAATGTACATACAATGTATAATACATTGCAACAGTTACACTTACCTATATCCGCACCGCGACTCAGGAGCAGTTCTACAAGATCTTCATGCCCTCCCGCACAAGCCAAGGTCAGCGCTGTGTCGTGATTACTGTCGGTTTCGGAATCAACATCCATGCATGAGAACGGAGCGGGTGGAACTTGGTTAGACGCATATCCACCGACCGATGGGACACCTATTGTACATCGGTCAATAACTCATTTTTAGTGATTTATTTTGAACATCATTGTACCAGTGTAATTATAACGGAAAGCGAAATATCGTACAATTCTCACCTGTCGCTGGATCCAGCTGATAGTTTTGCGCAGGAAAATTAGGAGTTTGTTGAGCATTGGCAGTTTGTTGCTGCTGGCAAGACTGTTGCTGCGACAGAAGAGGATATCTAGCCTTCTTGCCCTTGCCAGTTGTCGGTGCCGTATACACTTGCTTCTTGTCAGAGATAGCAACGTTTGCGGCTGTTGTAGTAACAGGCGCTTGGGTCTGGGTAGCAACTTGAACTTGATTAGTGCTGCAAGTTGTGGATTGCACATAACTGCTCGACTGATGAGAAGGTATACTATCTATTATTCCCGTTGTGCCACTCACAGCTGGTAATGTTTGTGTAGGAAATGCTAATAAAAAAGTAAATGAAAAATTACTCACTATTACGAGAATTCAGCGATATTAGTGACATTAAAGTTACATTCGATAACTTACTTATTTGAGAGGACTGAAGTAACAATTGAGGTTGGAAAGTATCACTGCTAATATGCTGCATACATTCGCGAAAATGTATACTACCCTGGCGAAAGCCTTCCTCAAAGGCTCTTAGACGATTCTTCAGCGTTGGATTTTGCAAGGATTGTGTATTTGATAGTTGTAAGCCCGCTGATATGTCTGCTTCTATTTGAACGCCAGCGCTGGTCACTTGTAACGACGGTAAGGCCGGTAAAGAAACCGAAGGTACTGACAGTACAGGAGTAAAGTACTCTTGAGAAGCGTGAGGACTTCCGCTTTGTTGAACTATTTGGGTAGTATGCAAATGTTGCTGCTGCTGCTGTTGTTGTTGCTGCTGCTGCTGCTGCTCTTTATTATTCGATACATCCAATCTTTTCAACTCAAGCTTTTCTTGATCTTCTGTCGCTATAAAGAAATAAAATAACGAAATGTTAATTATTTCAACTAATAATTTTTTTTAAACTTTAAGAAAAAAAAACACTTACTGTCAACCGCATCATCGAAACTAATGGAGCGAAAAATTTCAAATGCATCGTCGATAGGAATATCCGTGCCATCTTCTAATTTCAATACTCGTTCGTTCGGAGAAAAGGTTTTAGATTTCTGAGCGCCAGTAAAAAACGCGCAAGCGCTTTCTCTGTACTTTCGCGTTAACTCAGGATCCGTTTGCTCGGGAAGATTTTCTTGACCCGTTTGCTGTTAAAAATATTTTTTTTTATATGTACGTTTAATTATGTTTTAATATGAAAATATTCACAGTTGAGTATTAAACAATATAATTACCTGGCTGTGCAAATGGTGATGCGTAGGATGCAAGTGTGACATTAGTTGAGTGGGCATGAGTATACTACCCGTGCTATTAGCAACTATGTTGGTTTGCTGCTGTGAATGAGTTTGTTGGTGAGATTGTTGCGGTTGCGATTGTGGCTGCTGTGATTGCTGTTGTATCTGAGAAAAAAATAAATAAATAAATTCATTGAAAAAAATCTACATCAACGCTGTCCAAGATACAAATTTTTAATTTTTGTAATTGTGGGAATTGGTTTCACTTGTATTGATGTTCATGCTTATTACCTTTCTTTTTCTTTTTATGAATATAAAAAAAGAATATAATACGCATAAACGCTGACATACGTCAAGTCAATGTCCAGAATAAATCTTGGATAGCACACGTGTGTTAAATCCAATTATCTCACACAAGATTCTTGAAGACAAAATAAGATATACAGATAAAAATAGAAGTCTACCTGTACTTGATCCAACTGGAGTTGCAATTGCTGATTGAGTTGCTGCAGCTGCTGAACCTGTTGCACTTGATAGGAAGGATGCTGACGTTGTTTCTGCTGATACTGTTGATGTAGTCCAGCCATTATAGTCGCTTGTGTCTGTTGTAATTTCGCCATCCCCATGCTGGACGTAGCTTTTCGTACGTTCTTTCCTTCCTTCTTGGACACAGGCTTAGCTTTCGGACGATCGCTAATAGCAGTATTTTGGCTGACATCGCTGCTTGCAGTTATAGGGGATTGGGAAACGGCTATAACGGTTGGTGGGGTAGAAATGCTCGGCGGACTCGGCGTGGTTGTTGCAGAAGTAGCACTAATGAGTGATCCAACGGTGGTGGTTGTAACAGGTAATGTCGCGAGAGATAAGGGTGGCGAGGAAGGAAATGTATTTGTGGGAAACGTTTCCGTCGCGGTTGGAACCACGGAAAGCGTGGATTTCTGGAACTGCGCAGCTTGCATCCCCATTATCTTACCATCGAGGTAAGCGCTGCACACCAACGCTGCGTCGTTAGCTCCTGGATACGTCAATGAACCACCAGACATACCAGTTGTATTGCAAACTAAACCTTTCAAGCAAAATAAAGTTTTCACATTAAAAACATTAAGATAATCGTAAACATTTAATTTTAATGTAAATACACATTTTGATAAAAAAAATTTGTAAAAAAAATACCATGAGATGTTGACTGAGCTGGCAGGTCAATATTCAACATGCCCGGTAATAATGCCTCTGTCTCGCTAGGATCTTGTTGCTGTTGTTGTTGCTGTTGTTGAGATTGATTTACAATTGAATTCCGCGGACCAGAAAACAAATGTCCTGCACCTTTAATTTGTAGTTCTCGTTCTACCCTCTGAAAGATAATTATACAATTTGTCAAAGACAGTAATACGTAAAGTATAAATAGTATTATAAAAAATGCATTATTTATATTGGAATACTTTTTATTTGCATGTTTATCATATATAAAAAGATTGTACTTTTAGATTAACAAAGTATAAATGCTGTCATCAAAAACTATTGAAATATGTTTTTAAGAATATATCAAGGGACTTAATCGAGAATTGAGATTATAATAAAAGATACGTACTTGTAATTCCTCAAGTATTTGTTGCTTATGAAGGATTTGCTCTTGTCTAGTTATAGTTTTCCGACTTTCGCTGACGTGTATTACTTGCGTTGACGCTGCTGGTGTCGGACTAAGACTAATATTAGGTTCTGACAAACTTGTAAAACCCCCACTGCCTTTATCAAGAATATTGGTATCATCCTTGGTAGTAGTGGTTGATTCTCCTGCGGGCTGCGAACGAACTTGTTGCGCTTCGGCAGAAGTAAGGCTCATGTCGGGCATCATAGTCACTGATCGATTCTTTCTCAACAATGACTTTTGCGTATTGTGTTTGGGTTGAAGATTTTGCGCTTGTTGCTCGGTGGTCTGCTGCTGTTGTTGTTGTGGATGTTGCTGTGATGGCGTAGACGTTTGCTGGGAATGAGGTACATGTTGTTGACTTATATGTTGTGGTTGTTGCTGTTGTGGTGGTGGTTGCTGCTGCTGCTGCTGCTGTTGTGGTTGCGGCTGCTGCTGCTGCTGCTGCTGCGGTAATAACATGGGCGCAGGTGCAGCACTATGAGGAGCACTCATCATAATGCTATGAGGATAGTCCAATAATAGTTGAACAACAGCAGTATGACCCCCTTTTGCCGCTTCTATTAGCATAGTGGAGTTATCCTATAATTAATTTCATTAGATTATACATCGATACCAATGTAACTGAGGTTTTGAAAAGATTATACAGAAAACATTAAAATACATTTTATAAATTTCGCACTGACTTGAGAAATTGGATATACCGTATACGCGACACAATATGTTAATCTTATACGATATTACGTTCATATCAAATCTTTTGTGAGTCTTTGTATATTCCGAAGCGTATATAACAACGAATTAAAGTAAATATTGGAAATATATGATCATAAAAACATAGATTTTTTTTACTTAATTACGTAAAAGTACAAGAATCTTACTTTTAGCTTGTGAAATGGATTCGCAGATTGGGCAAGAAGTAGCTCAACCACTGTAAGATGACCACCAGCACATGCCAATGAAAGGGGCGTATGATCATTATTTGTTGTTTGTCGATTGACATCAGCGCGCTTTGAGATGAGGAATTGAACTGTACACAAATGGCCTGCTCTACAAGCTTTCATCAGTGGAGTTCTACCTCCTTCCGATTCATGTTCCTTGAATACAATAAATTGATATAGATAATTCGCACAAAGATAAAAATTTAAAGACATGAGATAACATAGAAATAAAAATACGTAAAAACGAAAGAAAAATTAAGTGAATTTGCAAGTGGAATATTATAATTATAAAAAAAAACGTACTAGATCAGCGCCAAATTGTAATAAAAGGTCAGCAACATCAGTGTGACCGTTCTCGCACGCGTATGTCAATGCCGTATCCCCCGTCTGCGTCTGAGCATGTACATCCGCCGCAGATTCCAGCAAATATCGAACAAGATCTAAGTGCCCTTCCTGCGCAGCCTCCATCAGAGGAGTGGATGCGCCCAGCTCGATATCTGATCCCGCCTTGATTAAAAAATCGGCAACTTCCAGGAAACCACCGCAACAAGCCAAGGTAAGCGCCGTTTCTTGAGTTTCCTCAGTTTGGGCGTTGATGTTTGCACCTTTTATTAATTACATCAATATTATACTCATTTATATTCAATTGTTAATTTAATGATGAGATAACCGAGACAAATACCATTACGTACCTTGACTCAAAAGTAAGGCGACCATTTCTTCATGACCCTCCCGCGCTGCTTCCATCAATGGCGTATAACCCTCGTCGTTAACTTCCTCGATGTTTGCTCCACGTTCAATCAAAAGCATAGCCAAGTCCACGTGGCCTCCGCAGGCAGCTAATGTTAATGGCGATTCAAAACTATCTGTCGGCATATTGACTTGGGCACCTGAATCTAAAAGTAAACGAGCAACTTCCACGTGACCATCCATTGATGCCTCCATAAGGGCGGTATGCATCTCATCGGTTTTATGCTCCTGTAAAAATGCATAGAAACGCCAATATTTAAAAAAAATTATACCAAATTTAAATAATTATTTAAAATAATAGTCGCGTTAAATAAATGTTATAGTAGGTACATGTTTTTCGTATAATGTTGCCCTGTAATTCTTAAGCTAATATTACATTTGCCATACGATAAATATAACATTATCCTTAAATGTAAAATATTAGCCTTACTGGAAGGAACACTCTAAGACAGACTAAAACAATTGTTTGAAACAAAGTCACTACCCACGTGATGTTAAATAGACAAATGTAGGGAGGGAACTAGGTCAACCAATCAGCGCGTTACATTTGATGCATCAAAATGCTAACGGTACAGCATAACCAATCAGGTTCACTGCCTCGCCCTTCTTGTCCATTAAAAACACAAAGCAGGTAGGTTTCGGGTTTCGGTCAAACACAAGGCTACCGTTTGGACAATAAAGACGAGTTATCTTTCTATTCCGAAACTGACCAGCAAAAAAGAGAAAAGATGCGGCAACTTCCCTATCTACTAGGTGTTGAGTGCAACATGGCGGTACAGTTGTGTTTCTCTACCAACACGATTATTTTAATATCTTTATCTTACGCCAGAAAAGACTACATTATTACCTGATCCGCGCCAGCTTCTAGTAAAAAGCGAACCATCTCTAAATGTCCTTTATAACAGGCCAACGTCAATGCGGATTCTTTAAATTCATTGGAATGAGTATTGATGCCGGCTCCGTGTTCAAGCAAGATCTTGGCTACTTGAACATGCCCGGCGCTCGCCGCTTCCATCAGAGGTGTATGACCGTTCTCATTGTGATCTTCGACATTGGCCCCCGAGTCTAGTAAGACACGTACAACCTCTTCGTGTCCGCCGGCGCATCCGTACATGAGAGGTGTGTTACCTTTGGTTAATACAATTACATTTTTTAACAACATCATCGGCCAAAGTTACGCCGCGTAACCTCAACAATTTGCACATGGCAATAAGCTCAATGCGTCGTGTAACTTTACAACATTACGACGTTAAAATAAACGAAACTGAGGAATAATTTTACCTGATGTAGACTGAGCATTAACATCGGCCCCGTGAGCAATCAGCAAAGACACGATATCTACATGCCCTGCACTAGCAGCTTCCATCAAAGGGGTACAGTCCCCTTTGATGCCGCGATCTTCTACGTTAGCATTCATCGCCAAAAGTACCTGTTTCATAGAAAAATGCAATGACAGAAAAATTCCATCAGTCTACAAAATTAATTTCAAATAAATTATCTTACATCACAATTGTACAATTATAATGCTAACTTCATGTCCGTGAATAACATGACAGTTTGATAAACAAGAAAAAAAAGTTGAAGTATAAAAGACTGATGTTTTAGAGAATTTTTCGCGTAAGAGCATACAGCATTTCTTGTGATTTTTCTAATTCTATTAATTAAAATAATCAAAATAAATTTAAGCTAATTACAATAAATTTTCAAGTATCATGGTCTGCAGTTACACAAGAACAGTTGGGAAAAGAAAAAAAATATCACAGAAATAGTTTTCTAGCTGTAAAACTAAGTTGGAACTTACGTTATTTTTAAGATAAAACAGCATAACATTAAATAATAATTTATTGAATGCCTGAGTGACTGTAATTACAACATAATAATAAATAAATTTGAATTGTTTGGACAATTATTAAACACATGCCAACACAGAGATTTTATTTTTACAATTCGTACTTTAACAATATAGAAAATACGAAAACTTAACATCATTGAATAATGTCGAATAATGCATTCGACATTATTTACTTTTTCTTTCTGCACAATGAGAATTACTGTACCAATGTATTCTTACAGTCATTTAAACTAAATTGTTAATATCAATTACAATTACTAAAGAGAATACAATGAGTATAATATCATGTGTACACGGTGAAAAAAGCATTAATATAGAAAGAATTAATAAAATTACAAGAAAGAAAAGATAGTATATCAACGCACGCATACATACATACAAACATACGTACGCACAGCAGTGCACAGTTTTACCAAAGACACTACAGAATATCTCTCATAACAAAAGATTTTTCTTTTGAAGAAAAAAAAATTTAGACAAATTTATCAGAGATAAAATCTACGAATTCCGTGATAATTGAGCTCATATCACGCACATAAACACATACCACAATAAAGATTGTATGTTAAACGTGTGAACCGGAAATTTTTTATCCACACGCATAACACAGTCACGCATTCCGTGCACCTTAACACAACATCTTGTCAACAACAAAATTTCATAGACAGTTCCTACGTTAGGATCGATGTAAAATTGGAGTTTTTTGGGAACAGAAGGAGAAGGTGTATACGATTATATGATATTTTGATCCAAACCTGAGCAAGTTCGTAGTAACCGGCTGAGCAAGCCAGAGAGAGCAGACTCTCTCCCTCCTCGGTGGTCTCGTGGACGCTCCGGCCCTCCGTTAACAATTTCCGAACGGTACCGACATCTCCATCGGTACACGCCTCGACGAGAGAGCGCTTTTCGTTCGGGGTACGTGGATTGTCACTGCGCATACGTGTTAATGCTGCCGCAGCTTCATCCAATGCACAAGAAACACTCGATGTTAAGCGACGGAGCACCTCGTGATCGGGCAAGTGCTTTCCATCGCCCGACGATAGTTTCCCAATTCCGGCTGCTTCGAGAAGTGCCTCGAGACGCGCCTGAGTCTCAGGATCCACGGAGCGCTCAGGATCCTCAGGAGTCAATAGGAATTTCGACGATTCCGGATGATCTTCGTCCAGTTCAACCTGATCGATCGCAAAGCACTCCACCTGCAATGCAATATCCATCGATAAAGCCGAGTATGTACACGTAACATAAAGAGTATACAGAGAAGAAATGAATAAAAAATTAGCTGTTATTTTACACTACATTATCTACATCGATCTCGCAATTGTCGTCGTGATTATATGACTGATTTATCTGTGCCATCGGCATCCAACAAAGATACGTCGCGAGCACGAGATCTTAGGAATCGATCGGGAGATCAGAGCGAAGCGGAACGACGACGATGATGCCTCCTCGTTGTTGAGAGACAACGGTCTTTCGGCGGTGCGTGCCCGGACGTGCTCGCGTTTCGCGACGGATCCGCGTTATCGCGTATAGTCGCGACCGCGCGGGACAATAAACGTAAATCGAGAACGCCGGGTGAAAGTATAATTGTGTGTTTTCTAGGCGAGCGGCGGCGGCGGCGGCGGCTGCGGCGGTGACAGCGGCAACAACGGTGGCGGTGGCGGCGGCCGCTACGACGATAAATGACGTTACGAGCGCTTTAACGCTCGGCGATGCGCGCGGCCGTTCCCCCCGCGCGAAGGAGGAGCGGCCCCGCGTGATGACGATGACGGCGGACGACGACACTGACACTTCCACGACCTATGACATCCCGCGTACAATACCTCGCATATAATACCTACGCGCGAGGAGCCATGCGTCGTTCTTCCGTCGTTTGTCGCCTCCTCTCTTCACCCCGCCTCGAGGCACGATCGGCCGAGGCAGCGCGAGGATAATCGGGCGACGTACATTCGCGTCGGGAGCGCGCTCGCGCTCGTCACTCTCTCGGAGCACACACGCACACGACGAAGACGCCGACGGTTCTTTCCCTTCCACCTCACGTCAACGTGCAGAGGAGGCGCGCAGGGGATGTAAGACGAGTCGTCGCGGACGAGGAATTCCGTACGGATACCGTCGGATATAGAATAACATGGTAGCTCTACGGTGCTGTGTACGCTGGTCGCTTCCTCGCGTGCATCGACCAGCGACCGCTACGCGCCGAGAGAAACGGGACGACGACGACGACGCCGCGAATAGACCGGCGAGCGTAACGCAACCATACGAGCGCGAGCTGACGGAGGAGAGGACTTGGCTAGGCGGACGACGGGCACTAATCGGCACCGCAAACTCGTGCCCGTGCGGACACTCGCGACTCGTGAGCGAGAACGCGGCGTATCGCGGGAAGCCCACTAGGTGGTGCGCCCGACAGCAGTGCGACGAACGCAACACACTCAACGCGGACCGCGCATCCCACGTATGTATGTACGCACGTACACACGCGTTGCGCGATACGCTCGCGCGTGGTGCGCAAACGTGTGCGTGCACGCACACGCGGATCAACGGGGGTACACGTGCGACCCGCCTTGCTTGTGTTGGTGCAGTTTCCTGCGACTACGCGCGCACAAGACATATTCATAAGCATGTATCAGACTATATGCCTGTGTGTATGTGTACGTGTGTGTGTATATATATATATTAACGCGCGCACGCGCGTGTCCGTGCAGTGTATATAAACCAGCATAAACTAGCGAGTACTTTAACCAGAATTGCGCGACACGGTCCTACACGCACGCACGCACGCACGCACGCACGACGCACGCACGCACGCACGCACGCACGCACGCTCGTCCGTACCTAACACACAACAAACACGTACACATGCCAGTCATTCTTCTCTTCTTTCACTCTTTCTCCCTCGTTCGCTCCTCCTGCTCCTCCTCCTCACCGCCACTCTCGCGCGGCCGAGCATAGACGGGGAGATGCCAGGAAGGATGGGAACGGCATTCGAATACTGCACCTCTCGGTGGCCGCGATGCTCTCGTAGACATCAGAATGAAGGTGGAAGTCGTTGCGAGGCGCGCACGCTTGCACTATAGGCACTATAGCGAGAGAAAGGAGTGGACGGGAAAGAGGCGGAGGGGAGGCAGAGAGATGGGAGGAAGGAGGATGGGAATTGCGTGAGCGATTCGCGAGAGATGAAGTGGCGAGAGAGAGAGAGAGAGAGAGAAAAAAATGATTGGAAGCGACGAAAAGAGAGGCCGACGCTGAACGTCGGTGTCGTCGACAACGGCGGGGACAACTATTAACGCATACATGTATCCCGGATTATATAACCCTTTCCCGATGCGCGAATTCCCCGCTGACGTTCCTCCTTTCTTCCTACCCTGCCTTCGTCCCTTCGTCCCTCCACGACGAGGCCATGGCGAGACTGGCCATCTACGTGCACGCACCTAGCCGGCGGTATCTAGCGAAGCGAAGACCACCACCTGGTGGCTGATACGAAATCTAACGTCGGGCAACGAACACGGATAACGATAAACTCGTGGAGTGGGTGGAAAGGTGGATTGTGTGAGACAGAGGTGGGGGGGGGGGGAGGTTTCGACGCCTTCACGCGATCGCGAACCCTTAGGGCGACCTCCTCGACCAAGCTCCGATCGACGATTAACTGCTCGAAACAAAATTCCTGACTGCTGTGCAAATTCATCGTCTTTAATTTAATCTTTTCTTTTTTTAAAAGAAAAAAAAAGAATTCCATCTATATTAACAAAGTAGAACAGGTATTGCTTCATAAGTTGATCATTTATAAAGTTAATCGAGCTTTTCTTCTTTTCTACGTCAAACCTTTGATTATTTACTCAATTCTTCATATGCCTGTTTACTCTTGGAAGATTCAATAAAATTGATATATTTATATTACTGTGCAAAAGAATGTGTAGAGTCAAGTACGTTTACAGGTCAGTTTACTTAATTGCAAACAGGTATATATACGTGTACATACATACCACATATATATTGTACATAGGTGCACATGTATATCTGTGCTCAAATGTGGAAAGCAAAAAGGACAATTGAGCAAACAAGTCCATAAACGTAAATCGACTTTGCACAATACGTTTTTACACAGCGACATAAATAATAATTGTATATGAATGTTCCTGTGTATATATAGACCTTGACAAGAGAGAGGAAGACAAAACAAAGTCTAGAAATTAAAACCAATGTTACAATATTAGACAAGAAAGAAATAGCTTCGACTATGAAAATAATGAAATCAACGTTCGATAGAATCTTGGAATTCAGAATAGTTGCATCAATTACCTAATTAACTTTTGCAAGATTTTCAAAAACTCTGCTGAAAACTTAGATATCAAAAAAGTAATTCCAATGAATTTAAAATAGATAGCATGGGATAGCACTGAAAAAAGTCATAATTAAGAAATCGGACTTGTTTCAAGTACAAATAAATAGCAGCATTCGGACGTTGACTAATCTTGGCATTATTAAATGCAATTGCAAAAGCGCGTGATAGATAATTCGATGTCGAGTAAATTTCGATTGGTCACTATGGCTTTTATATTATAACACTATTATAATTCCGTTGTAAGTAGTTAAGAGAAAAACAAAGTTAAGAAATCTAGAAATCAATTTTTTTTTTTCAATACTAATTCATATCGATGCAATTCGCAACTCGAGCTCAGTTGATTGACGAATTATCCTTAAACATCTGTGCCGTAGACAAGAATGCAGCAAGACAGAATGAGGCAGCGTTAATCAATCAGCTGGGTGCCGTCGGTACAACTTTGCCTTGTGGCATATTTTCTTTTACGGGAGCATTGTTCTCCCTCAAACAATGATCCAGGTCAAACATAGCATCACCGCAGAGCCTGTAAAGAGTTGACATTTGACAGACGAAAACTGTGCGGTTTTGAGTTGCCTACGAGTCCAAAGTAATTTTTTTGACGAAATCTGTACCATTTTGCTAACATAGACAATTAATTCTTTGTTACTCGATACATGGAACAAAAGATTTAAATTAGATTAGAAATGACGAAAATTATATGATTAGAAATTTTGCAGTGAACACAATTTTTATCGGCTAAATTAATCGCTGATCGGAATTAGTCGGAGATGGATCGAGGTCATCCTCCAAGATGGGCTTTGTGTCGCGTAGCTTTTCCGTCAATAGTCAACTCTCAACGATACGAACCGCATACCGGTCTAGGGACTACGTCACTGGCTCTCGAATGATCAAAGCCGATTTTCATGAGTTTGTGTATTCCGCCTGATAAACTTGCCGCGAGCCGAGGATTCGAGATTCGTCGCGTGACGCAAACGAAGAATAGGTATTTTGCAGTCCATTTCACGCGTGTCAAAACCTCTTCCTTCCTGCAAACGTACATGCGTTAAAACATCGCGATCAAACAGTTTTTGTTAAAAAATTCAAACATAATAGACTGCATGGTAATACTGTTCATTGGTCGAATCGTAACCATTCCTAAAGAGATTTAAAAAATTATAAAATCGGTTTACAACACTTTCCAAGGTAGACGAAAATAAAAAAAATGACGTGATTTTGAATAAGAACACTTCAATGATTTAAATGCTAAGCTGACATCAGACAAGTTTACATTTCTTCTAATGATTTGCCCTGCTATTTTTCGTATAATTCAAATTTCTACTTGTAGTCTTACGAGTGATAACGAATCAAATAAAGATTTAAAACAATTTTTGTGACATCGCATAGCTGAAAATATGTAGAAAACGATGCATTTTCTTTTGCATAAATAAAACAGAAATTGATACTTCCATCATTTTCACGTGTAAAAGTATCGTAAACCCTCCCCGCTAAACGAAAAAACTATCTTGGCATAGCGACGAGTCATAACCTCGTCGTTTTCCCCGCTTGACTTGAATGTCCTCTTTCACGCGTACACACCAGATATATGCCAATGACACGATCGCGAGTATATAAGCACATATACACGGAATCCCGACGAATACCTGTGTGCGAGTAACGGGCGTGTGTAGATGAGTACGTAACGCACACACACATACACGCGCGCGCGCACACACGTCGCTGTAGATCGTTACGATCGATCCGGTATAACGAGCGCATGCACGCATAATGTCGCCGACACATCCTCGGTGCAGCGATGCACGCGAAAATGCGCGTTAATAGAAATAGGAAATGCCACAGGAAGCGCCCAGCGAGTGAAAAAGAAGAGACTACGAGCGAGCGAGCGAGCGAACAAGCGAGAGAGAAAGAGAGAGAGAGAGAAAGGAGAGATACTCGCGAACGAGCTCGACGTCACACTAATTTGAGATCGGGATTCAGCGCGTTCCTAGAACTCGGCGAACGCGCGATCCAACGGAGATAGTGTGTATCCGCCCTGCGAACGATGATGACGATGACGACGACGAGGACGGCGGTGTCAACGTCGTCGCCGACGTTGGCGAGTACGACGACGGTGACGAAGACGGGGCGAGGAGGGGCGGGGGAGGGGAGAGGGAGACAACGGCGAGTGACGCCTGCGTAGGATAAAATCGGTTCTCTCGTGTCCCTTGTCAAAAAGAAACATGCTCGCTTCGCCAAAGACGAGATGCTCGTCTCCGAGAGCACGCATGTACACGTAGGCACATACACGAGCGTAGGCCAAAGGCTCGCACATACGTACATTCTCTCTTTTTCTCTCCCTCCCTCTCCCTTCCCCTTCCTTCGTCCCTCTCGCTCATGCACTCGCTCTCTCTCTCTCCCCCTTTCTCATTCCATCTTTCCGTCCCCACCTTCTCTCTTACTCTCATGCCCGAGTTCCCCGACACGCCGTGTACACGGATAATCTTATCACGTTGCGCCTAGGCGAAGAATCTCTTTTTCGCATTCATTTAGCGTTTACCTCGGAAACGCTGTCCTCCTCGCTCTCCGAGGAATCGGTCATAAAGCGCGGCTGCAGCTCGGAGAAGGTCTCCGTCTCCGACTTCGTGGGGCTCGAATTCGACGACTGGGGGGTCGACGACGACTTCCCAGTGTCGTGGTGAACGCTCGCTGGCGGTGGTATCGGTGGTGGTGCCGCCGCCGCTGCTGCTGCTGCTGCTGCTGCTGCTGCTGACTGTCTCTCGTAGCTTTTCTGGCTATCCGAGGTCGTTCCTTGCGCTACATTCTGCATCTTTACCCCCCAAGTAAATCATATGACACACAATTGATCTCGCTGATATAACCGTACCGCGGCGAAGCACACACCGTACACTCGAATTTCCTCCGCGACTGTGCGACAATAAGCTCTCTCGGTCGAGCACGGTCGTCGTCATTCACGTAAGCTAGTACCCGCCATTTTCTACTATGGCCGACGACGGCACGGCGAGAGTGAGGCGAGAGTCCCCAATACCACCTCCTCGCGGTTGGCTGTGGTTGGTGGCCCCGCGGATCGCACATCCGTCGGCGCTTAGGTTAGCGATTCCGACGTTCGACGAGCCGCGGCGCCCGCGGCGCGTCACCGCCACGTGTGGCGCGTAACTTCAATTGCGCCGGTTCCGCTTCTCTAATTGTATACGTATACGGACGCGGGACGTCACGACCTAAAAAAGAAAAAAATTAAAAGATTAAGCATTTGTCCATTTGCATATTGGAAGTAAAAGTAGAATGAATGTTGGATAATGAAAGAGAGGTGGTGGTTTTAGGCACTTTGACATTCCGAATATTATCTCAAACATAACTTGAAGTCTTTAAGGGAAAGAATATATACTTGAAAATGATCAAAATATTAATTCTTTTATTGAAAAAAATAATAAATTAGTTTCTACATACAGTTTGAGCTACACAAATTGATTTTTGAACGTTTACGTACGCTAACTCATTTTTAAATATTAAAACAAAAGTTGAATATATAATTCTCTCACAATCTCAAATGGATTATCAAGTTATTATAAAAATTATTATTTTAAATTTTTATTTCGTACTTCTTGTAACGTTGAAGTCAACAAAAGAAATTAAATAATTGTGGGACGGAGCTGCAATACTTTTCAAGTACTCTTTTGTAAAATCGAGTTTTTTTTATCTTTATGTATTTTTCCTTACAAACTAAATATTTATAAATTTTTTTTAAATCTCTCTTCTTCAGAAGTGTATGTGCGAGAAAGAGAGAGAGAGAGAGAGAGAGAGAAAATCTAATCGTTATATATAGCATTATGTTCAAGACGTGTCTATCATATAACAAATATATTTTAAAATTTTATTAGTAAGTTCATTTTCACAAGCATTCAAAAAAATATTATACATTATAAATTATTATAAATAAATTTTATCAAAACTTCTATTTAAAAAACATGAATTCAATTCATAATAGAAGCTACATACAGTTTTAATTTCAGCTTATAAGCATCCTAATTTTATTTTAATTTTATTTGCGTATTGTTTACTTTTATTACAAAAATGGTTCAATATTCATTTCCATCGCGGAACATGGAATATTTAATTCAAACTTTGAGAGTACATCAGGATGTAAAACTCCCATTTTTCCTATCACTTCACCAAAACAGATAATTTCAGCACATCGTTGAGGGAAGAACGCCGGGTCTGCAAAAGATACAGATAATAAATTCTTCTATTATCTTACTCCATAAATCTTATATTCTACATTTTATTTGATGAAACAAATGTATTCTGAAAATTATGTATCTTACCATCAGCTGCGCGCAAATAATATCCACTTTTGTCTTTGTTAACGCTCCAGGGTACCTCTAATAGTAATAACACTCTATCTACTAGACCATGAATTATCTCAAAACCAGCCGATTTATTAGCATACACCGCACATAAGCGGCGATTGTTTCGCGCACCAACTTCCGCCGTGTCGTCTCGCAATACAACGTCGGAAACTTCAAATAATTTATGAGGTAAAGGCATCTTTTTGTTTGCCGATATCGTCTTAAGTAATCCCGGTAAAAGTGAGGTACGCGCAACCTGCAACAAAAGTTATATTTATCAAAGTATTTTATATTTTAATTCGTTCAGACAATTATATATTGGTAAAATCAAACTCAAACTTTTATACTTGTAACATTCTCTTAATGTCTTCCTATTGTTAAGCATCTGAATTTCCACAAATTTTTCTTTCTGTATTGTTTTTTTTGCTACTTATTGCATATAAATTACGGATAAAATATTTAACAGTAAATATCTTCTATTTTTCGTCATTCATTTTTTCATTAAATTGCTCGCGTAATTATTAAATCGCGATTATTAATCATACATCATATTATATGTATGTGGAATGAATGACAACTGAAGGAAAAGTTAAGAATAGCACTGTCGAGTCCTGATTATACTTCCGGCAGTTTTCACGTAAAAACGTGAAAGCTCAATGTACTATGGTTTACCTGAAATTCTAAAGTTTTCGGATTGGATATGTGAACTGCCGGTACATCCTCTATCTTGTATCCCAATTTGTCCGCTACATCCTCACGCGAACACTATAAAACAATTGAACACAAATTAGAATGCACTGAAGGGTAATGTTTTTAAGTATAAAAAAAACTTTCTCGAAACATACCAAAGAGAAAGTCAGTGCTTCGGTGAATCCTGCTTGAGCTAATTCTACCCGTATTTGGTCGGTCAGCTTATTTAGCGGCAACTGTAATTCACATAAAAGTTGTATGTCAGTATATATAAAATCATATGCGTCAGTTGTAGAATATTTACCTCTGCTGCGATTGTCGATAAATGTGGTATAGTTTTCTTTATTTCGTTATATCCGTAAGCAATAGCGATGTCCTCATAAATGTCGCAAAGGTGTATCACGTCATGTCTCGTTGGTGGAATTTCTACCGTTAGCGTATCCTTATCCTTCATCTTGGTTTTTAAAGACATTTTTGACAATAATTCTGCAACTTGATCTGGTGTCTGCCTGCAGAGATAATGTTTTTATATACTATAACTATCTTGAGATAACTATCTTGTGTAATCTGTAAACATCATTATCCATATGATGGAAGACTTAATTACATACTCAATGCCAATGTAATTAATCGCTTTATTATGGTCAATTTCTTCCGTTCGATATTTTAATTCTGGATAATAGAAAGTTTGATTGTCAGGGTATACCACTTCCACTAGTTCGGCTGTATATTTCATGTTGCAATACTGACTGAAAGCACAGACTATAGTGTCTATCACTATCTTCGCCTGCAAATTATTTTTAAGAATTTGTAATGAAACGTATGTAATATTTTAATAATATTAATTAGCGGCATCTTATAATTTCAAATCATTAGTTTTTGATATTGCTTGTAAAAATATAGATTATACAACGTAAATATATGTTATGTAAATGTACGTACTTTTGTAAGATCGGTTGCTGTGCATTCGATAAAAATATTTTTTGTATCAAGTGTGATCTTTGAATGATCTCCATTGATAATAGGAGGGAGAGATAAAACAACTCCATTACTATCACATACCACGGGATAAACAGGACTGTCTTTTATGATGGGTAAATATTGTTTGAGCTGTGCATGTGTCTGTAAACGTTAAGTTAGTCGTATAAATATGTATGAATTTCTTTTGTTAATTCTATAAAATTATTTATAGAATTAATAAATACAGTGAAAGAGATATACTTACTGCATACAATTCCATGATTTCTTCTCCCGTGTACTCTTTATCTTGGTTAAGTGGTTTGAAACGTATCTTTGATGGTGATCGAGCATCATATAAGAATGGGCCTTTAATTGTATCTAAGTCATGAGTGCCAATAGAGACTAGACTACGTTTTCTTCCTATATTCTGATGCAGCTTATCTTGAAGATCGATAAAATTATTGTAAGATTCTTGTGTCAAAGTAACATCTCTCAAAATTGCGGCAACTATATGTCCTCTCACTTTTAAGCACTGAAGCATAACGAGATAAGATTATTTAACGTTATGACTGAGATAATGTAATGCAATTTTTTAAATAAATATTACCTCCGAGCTCATCACAATCTTTTCCATGCCTGTACTTGGTTTTATTGCTTTGTAACGTGGAATGGATATCCTGTTTAGAAAAAAAATTTATATGTTGGATTTTGAATGTAATACTTATGATGAGAGAATAAAACTATTTTTATGTAGAGTACAAAAAGCATAAATTGTGAAATTTACTTGTTTAAAAATATAAGCAGGCCAGTACTTAGACTCTCCAAGCATAAAAGATCATATCTGTTAGCAGGTACATCAATTTTGTAGATAATCTCTTCCGAGGCATCTATATCTTTATCAGAACCTTGCTCCTTTGCTATCATTTGTTTCTCCGTTGTCTATTTACAAAGATCAAATAATATTTGTAAAGTTTAATATTAATATGTAAATTATTAGATAGTTAAGAATTCAACACTTACCACTTCATCTAGCTCCAAACCAAATTTGAAGCATAACGTCTGGAACTCATCGTCAGCTATAGAACAAAATTTAAAAGTTTAAAAACAAAACTAAAATATTTGTAATACATAAACTAATTTTATTGATACTGTATTAACATTGTCAATAAAAAAATATACAACTTACAATATGTTTTGCCCAAAGCTTCAAATAGTAAATCACGTTTTACTCCAATAGTTGGCATCTTTATACTCCACAATAATTTCCACCTAATCAAGTAAATCCGATATTATTATTGTCTCTTTTTACGGAAATGATCAGATTTCTCGTTAATTCGCCTGTAAATTAATAAGTACAACAAATTTTTAGGTTAGGAAATATTATCAAAACAGATTTTCCTCAGATTAATTTATTTCGAAATTAATAGCATATCTTTTTTGGCTCGACTTAGTAATCCTGTTTACAATGCTTCAATTGTATTAAGAAATTGTCACGTACGTCAAAATAGCGTTATTTTACCTGTTACGTCAGCCGGTACAAGCAGTATACGAATAAAAAATGAAAATGTGAATAAGCATGCAAAACGCATGGGAGCACTGCCGGAGCAGAAATAGCAGACGTGGTGGTAGGTGGTGATGGTAGATGGTGGTGGTGGATGATGGTGAGATTGGTGAGTAAAAAAAAAATTTTTATTTTAAAAATCAAATTATATAAGAAATATTCAAAAAAAATTTTTAATTACAAAATCAGCTGATATAAAAAATAAAAAAAAGTTATCCTATCTTAAAATTGCCGTGTTACCTGCGTTGAAGCCTCTTTTCCCCAATGTTTAAAAATTCATATCTTCCAGAAAAATAAAGATATAC